GGGGGGGGGAAGAAACGATCAATCTGCGAATAGCAAACGATTCTCGCGATCGGACAAGCCTCGTCGCCTCGCCGACGAGGACAATAACGCGCGGCCTGTAATTACGTAATCACCTAATTAACCTCGTGAACGCTAAGCGGCGACGTTGCCCTCTCGAGACTGCTCCGCCCGCCGTTCGTTTTCTCCTTCCTCTGCTCAGCTCCCTCGCTATCTTTGTACTCTCGATTCTGTTTTTTAGCACCGTGAAGCTCCGCGAGTGACTCCGCTCGAACGAATCATTTTCGTAAGAAACGGGAACTCGCTGTGAATCGCGCTTAACGTCCGCGGCAAATCTGTCTTCACTGACGGGAAGGTCGACTATTCTCGGCTCGACCGCGTAGAACCGCGACTGTGCGTCATTGAGAGATCGGGAATCGCTTTTGCATAAATAATCGATGAAACGTTACGCTATCCGCGATGAAGAGAGGTAGCGGAGAGAAAGAAAAAAACCCGTAGTAGTAAATGGAAAAGTTGCCGGTTGAAACGCACAGCAGCGGCTGCGGCCCGAGCTGTTGCCGAGTTTAACGATTCGAGGAGGTTTTCCGACAGGGAGGGTCATCGACTCCGGATGTCGAATCGAAAGGCAATATCTCGAAAGGAAATCGATTCCCGAGAGTTTTTCTGCGGCGGGGCGGGGACGGGCTCGCAGGCGAGCAAATATCGAGAGGCCGGCAACAAGGCCACTTACGTTCCTACGAACACACCGGCTCTTTTTCTATCTCGTCCTCAACTACTTCTTCTTCTTCTTCTTCTTCTTCTTCTCCTCATCCTCTTTCCCTGTTCATCCCCTGTATATCACACTCGTCGTCACACGCACACACACAGACACATGCACACACACATACGTACACTTTCTCTCTCCTCCCCCCCCCCTCTCTCTCTCTGTCTTTCTCTCTTTCTCTTTCGCTCTCGCAATTTCTCCTACATTCTACTGCATTTATTATAAAAATAAAATGTAAAATCGTACCGAGGACGAGTTTTCCGAACGGTATAAAACTGCGAGCTCGTTCCTGTATTATCACTATACTCACGAAGGAGAGATCGGTCCTTCGTCCTGATCGCGTGTTGTTCCTTCCTCGCCCTATCTACCGTCTCGTGCGAATGAACGGGCCGTCTTTTCTTCAGCGTAGGTTCGTCTGTTTTCTTATTTTTTTTAGTTTCTTTTTCTCTTTTATTCTTAAATCTCTCGATTCAACGTAAGGTTTTCTCTCCCCTCCCCCTCTCTCTCTCTCTTTCCGTAGGGAAGCTATCCGCGGTCCGATCTTCGGCTCGTTTAGACGCGCTTATGTATTTAGTGCCTGAACAGCTTCCGAGTTAGCTGCCGGGTGCGTGGCCCGGATACATGTTCGAGCGCGTATCGTCGCACGACGCTCGCGATCGATGGAAACTGAGAAAGCTGGAAGACACCTTACCTTATCGATCTATCGGTCCACGGATCTGTATCTTTTTCTCTATCTATCTATCTCCCTCTCTCTCTCTCTCTCTCTCTCTCTCGACGGCTCGCTCGGCTCACGACGAGCGGGGACAAGTGTGTGGTATATAGTTCCTACCGTTTCGCGAGAACCCGTGAAGAGTAGTGAGTAGTGCATCTTGAATATAATACATAGGCTCTACAGATATATTCATTATCAATTCTCCGACTATACCAGTGAAAAAATAAATTATTACACGTTGGTAATATCTGTGTGTGGGTGTGTCGCGTGGTTACGTGGTTTCCGTTTTTTTTTCCTTTTCGATATATATGTATGTCTCTCTCTTTCTCTCTCTCTCTTTCTCTCTCGTGCGTGGATGCTCGCGTGTGACGTGTGGTCTACGTGTGGTGTCCGCGTGGGTTCGTATCGTCGTATATAGAGTGTGAGTACATGTACGTGTGTGTATGTCGCTTTTTCTTTCTCTCATTCTTTCTCTTTCCCTCTACGTGTGTATGCGTCGAGTGTGTACGAGTCTTTGCTGTCCCAGGTGTCGGCGCTCGACGCGTCGTCCGAACGTCCACCGGTGCGCTACGCACCGCACGATGTGCGTGTCTTTGCATGAGACTTCTGTGTGTATGTATGTATGTGTGTGTATGTGTGTGTGGAACAGCCACACGCGGTGGCTTTCGTCGAACTCGCGCCGTCGCGATCGGGTCCTTATCGGGTGTTTCAGCTTTAGCACATACACACGCTCTCGTTAGTCGGCCGTTTTTCTTTCCTCCTCCTCTTCACCACCTTCTAATCATCTCCTCTCACCTTCTCTTCTCTTCTCCACGCCTAAAACGTTCGCACGCACACGCTATCTCGCAACAGGCGTACTTTGGAAGCAGACATCTCTCTCTCTCTCTCTTTCTCTCTCCACACGCACCACACACACACACTCTCTCTCTCTCTTTCTCTCCCTCCCTCCTCAACCTCGCCTCGATCGTTCGAATCGAGGTCGATCGTTTCGGCTGTCTCTCTCCTCGCCCTCCATTTCTCCCCCATTCGTGAAAAACGCGCCGATCCTCTCTCTTTCTCTCTACCGATCCTACCGTCGACGGTGTGTGTATGTGTGTATGTACAAAGTATCCCGAGAGCTCCTCGGACAGGAAAGATCGCAAGGGAAAGAGCCTCTCTTCTCGGAGAAGCGTCCGGATGGGGTGGGCGCGCAGGCGCCGACGGTCAGCGCAACGGTAGAAGCGGCCCCGTCGGGAAGAGAGACAGAGTTAACCGGGGGACAGACACCCGGTGCTCGTGGTCAGGGTAAGGAAGCCGGACTCTGCACGCCTGCGTCCCGACGACGCAGGGACGACGCGGGGACGACGATCGCGTCAGTCTCGCGACCCTTCCGCTTGCCGTCCGCGCCGAGGCGGCCCGACGCTTGAGCACGCGCGAGGTATTAGTTGGCCACGAGCAGGTGCTGGTACTGGCTGGCCGGGTAAGGTGCGACGGAGCCGAGGCCGAAGTTGTTGAGGCCCTCGACCAGAGCGCTCTTGTCCTGCTGCTGCTGCGCCGCGGCGCTCGCCGCGCCGTTCACGTTGCCGTTCGTCGTCGCGGTGCCGATCGGGCCGAGATTGCCGGCGCCGCTCTGCGAGACGGCGGGGTTCGCCGTGCTGCCGGTGCCGCCGCTCGTGCCGTTCACGCCGCCACCGTAGAACTGGTGGCCGGCGAGGGCGGTCGGGTCGAGGTACGACGACGGGAACTTGGCGCCGGCGTAGAGATCGGCGGGCAGGTAGCCGCCGTGGCTCGACGAGTCGAAGATGTTGCGATGGGGGAACTGCGCGTGGTACGCCGCCGGACCGTGCTGGAAGAAGTACGCGCTCGGGTCCGTGTGCTGTTGTCCGCCACCGGCGACTATGCTACCGGGTGACAGGCTGCGACTGCGCGGCGAGCTCTGCGAGACCGGCAGACCGCCCGCGGCGGTCGCCTGCTGCTGCTGCTGCTGCTGTTGCGGCGGCGGCGGCGGCGGCTGTTGCTGCGGCTGTTGGTGCGGCGGCTGCTGCTGCTGCTGCTGCTGCTGATGATGGTGGTGGTGGTGGATCTGCTGCTGCATCGCGCGCTGCTTTATATAGTTCGAGAACTCGGTGGGCGACATCCTGAAACCGAGCGTTAGACCGTTGCGGTTCGTCAGTGTGTCGTGCTGGCGTACTGCGCGCGTACGAGGGTCGGGCTCGACCGGGTGAACACGCCCTCCGGCTCTCACCTGGCGCGTCGCACCCTGGTGCGAGTTGGGGAGGTAGGTAGCAGGAGCGCGTGCGGGGCTAAAGTTAATCGTGTATCGTCAATATTGAAAGATTGTCTCCTACGTAGTCGCTCTCTAGGTTGCTCTCTAGGCTCGGGGGCGCATGCTCTGCTTGGCTTCTACTTGCTTACTCGCCACGCCAGCGTGATCTAACGTGGCCGAGACTCTATGCTCGCACCTAAGGGCGATCCCACCGTTCAACTTGGCACTTGTGTACCGCGGGAACTCGGAGTAGCGTTAATTTCTAGCGGAGATTATTAATACCTGTACCCGGGATCGTTTCAAGCAGCATTCCACGAATACACACACACACACACACACAGATTGGGTTACCTCGGGAAGACTCGAGGAGCATAGCGTTCGCGAGCGATCGCGCCTTTCCTATAACAGCTACCCTGCCTCCGAAACAGATCGCGTGACTTTATCATCTCTCTCTAATCTCGAGCGACTCTCTCGTGAGCGTCGCTCCGCGAAACGCGATACTCCTCGAGCGGCGGAGTGCGCGACGAATCTCCGTCGCGAAAGAACGATTTCTCGTACGAACGAGGACAAACCACTACCTGTTACCGCCACCTTCCACCTGCGCATTTCCAGCTCGCAACGGCTGGGCGAAGTCGGGACGAGCGAGATTATATCAGCACCGTGCATTCTTCCCGGCGGAGGTTAAACAGGAGCCCGCAGCACAAACGAGCGCCGATTCTAGCGGGGCTCGCAAGCGGGAGTGGGACATCGATCGGCGAGTAGTACTAACCTGTTGGCGCGTTTGCTGCTGGTCTTGAGTTTGGTGCTGCCGAACTTGGTCTGAGCGAAGGTGGCGGTGGTGAAGGTGAGCGGGGCGGTGGTGCGCGGGATGAAGGCCGGCACAGGACTGGGCGAGCCTTTGAAGGAGCTGGTGATGGGGGTCGGCGAGGGTGCCGACGAGGAGCCGGAGCCATGGCCGCTCTGCTGATTGTTGTTGGACGAGCCGTTGCTGGTGTTGCTGCCGAGCGAGCTCGAGAAGGGCGAGGTGGACTTTGGACTGAGGCTAAGACCGCCCAGCGACGTGCCGACGGCCTCGATCGGCCTGAAGCACTGCGCCTCGGGGTTGAAGGTCTTAGTGACCTCGCGATCGGCCGAGGTCTCGTCGTGAGGATCGCCGGTCTCGGAGTAGAGGATCTTCACGGCGTTCAGCTCGCCTATCCGGTAGCTGACCTCACCTGGATCGACCCAGACGGCGAGCTCGGCCGGCAGGTTCTCCAGGATGTCCTGGATCGGCACACCGCTCTCCTTCGCGGCGCGCTCCAGCACCGGGTCGACCGGGTCGCCGGTCTTCAGGCATCTGAATGCGGACCCCTTGAACGGCTTCTCCGGGTACCAGTGACCCTTGAACTTGTCTTTCAGGGCCTTCTCGAGCTCCTCGCCGAATATGTTGACCCGTCTGCGCGGCAGTTTGTTGTATAGGTACGATATCACGAAGTTAAGCGCCACCTGCACCTCGATGTGCATCTTGGCCCTCGGGAGAATCTTCGAGCTGTTGACGCTCGTAGCGGCCGCGGGATAGCACCGAGGACGTCCGCACGATCGGCCGTCTTGCCACCGGCGAGGGATTGTTCCGGGTGGTGGTGTCACCTCGACTGACGACGGACCGCGATTCAGAAGAGCCCCCGGATCTGTAATCATAACCATAACACATCCACGTTACGTATCGTGTTAAAGTGCGCTTAGTGATTGAATCATCGGTGCGTGTGTGTTACGACCACGGCTGGGAAGTGACTTTTACTAGTCACCCGTTTCGTTCAACTTCCTGTCGCATTTCCAGGTTAAACGCGCGAGTCTTAATTACGGTCCTCGATTCGCGAACGAGCGCCGGGAAATTCGCCGACTGTAATTGGCAATATTATATATATTATCGGCGAACGGTATGCGAGGATCGCTCGCTTCCTTCGCGATTCCGTGGGAAGTGCGCGTCGAAGGAACTCGCCGACTGTCTTGGAAAAGGACTCGTCCGTCGACGGCGCGTTATCGGCTCCTTTCACGAGCGAGGCTCGCGCATTGAAACGGAACGCGGCTTCCGGTTACTCATGCCCGTTCCTCGGCCCCGCGCGCTCAAGGAACCGAAACAGAGCCGATCGTTTCTTCCCACCCCCTTCATCCCGAGGTTCCTCCCGAGCGCGTCTCGAAGAAACGTCCGCCGGGATAACGCCTCCTCCTCGAGCAGGGCCTCGTCGGACGCATATTTAAGAAACAGAGTGAGCACACGGTCAAGTGTCCGTGATCGTTTCCGTAAGGAAGAAATTCAGAAATGAAATAAAAGAATACAATGAAAAGGTAATTTTCGGGTCAAGAATGTAAGGTCTAGAGAGGCGGATGTGCTCGGGCGTCATCATAAATCAAATAACGAACCGGCAAAATGTCAGCGTCGTTTGTGTCGCAAGTCGACGCGCATGAGACGTCGAGTGGAATAAATATTAGACGCGCCGATCGTTTGTCACGATCAAAGAATTCTCGAGTAATTGTATTTAATTAACCCGTGGTGCGCGCGTGTTTTTCGATTCAGCGCGCGAATGTCTCCCGTTAATCGACTCTCTCCTCGCGACTCCTTAGAGAACGCACGTCATCGAAACAAAAAAAAAAAGAAAGAGATTTTTCAGGTATGCGGTATTATTTATGCGGACGCGAGCTAATTGCGTTTGCGCGCTCCCCCCCCCTCCCTCATTGTCGCCGCCAGCCTAACCGAGTTCTCCGCAATTCTATCATTCGGCCGCATTTTTTTACGTTCCCGAGGTTGTTTATGCGCGTCGCCGAGCTCGTAAGTCTGCGTGAATTATGCACGCGAAAGTGACGGTCGAGCGAACGCGCCGCTCGTATAAAAATGCCTACGTCCGCAAACAGTCCCGTGACGTAAATCGGAGGGTTAGAGACGAAGCGGGGGGGAGGAGAGGTCGAGAAGTAATAAAAGGGATTGCTCTTAGACCCCGGCGAGCGACGAAGTCGCGCGAACGTCTATCCGCTATTCGCGAGCCTCGCCGCAATTGCGGAAGTCGCTCCTCTCCGAACGGCACGGAGAGCGAAAGGTGTTCTTCCTCCTCCACCTACTACTACCACTACTACTACTTCTCCATCTTTTCTCTTTTCTCGCAATAGAGATTCTTGGGCGTCCACCAAGGGCTTCCACGGCTGCCGGATATATCCGGCGACCCGAGAGTCTCGGAACTCGATTCCGCCTTTTCTGGCTTCTCCTCTTCGACCTCGCGATATCGCGAGGGAAAACCGAGCTCGGGTCGAGGCGGAGAGAGAAGAAAGAGACGCAGAGAGGGAGAGAGAGAGAGGAGAAGCGAGAACTGCAAAAGAACTTCCACGACTTTGAGGCCGGTGACCCTTCGAAGACGAGAGCCTCGCTTCTTCCAGCGACTTCCTTCACTTCTTTCTTGCGCGGATTTTATTTCTCGAGGCTCGTTTGTCTGAGAAAATGTATCCGCCACTCGATTGACTCGTTACACTTTCGAGTGCCTTCGAAGATGCGCTCCTCCATTTCCCGTTAACGCAGCCTGTAGTTACCGTTCGTTCGGCAGCTCGAAATTTGCGGGAATATCGGCTCGGCCTGAGAACGACGATGCGAAGTATCTCAAGCAAGAACATGCGCGCGCGCTAGAAATATATATTGTAGAAAATAGGTTTCACGACTTTCTTCCTCTCTCTCTCTTTCTCGCCTACTGAGCAACGTTTCGGGCAGCCTCGTTACACACTCGGAGAACTCTGCAACGGCGGCTTTACTCGGCGCATCTGCATGGCGACGTACTCGGTTTTTTCCGCTCGCTTCCTGTACTTGACTCGGTGGCAAGTTTCCACGCTTTGGCTCGAGCCAAGAGGCGCGGGTATGTAGGTTAAAGCTAGCGGTGCTGCGGCGGTTTCTACTTCCAGCAGTAGTACACGGCGACGGGGGTGGTTGTAGGTATTGATCCCGCGCGGCAGGGCTGCCGGAAGGTTCTCAAGTTAAAAATACACGGCCTTGCGGCTCGCCGGCTCCGTGCCTGACCAAGTGCTCGCGAAGTGCCGTAATTTCCGCCACCTTGATTTTCCCGCGATATTCCCCGGCTCGAAACGTTCACCCGGGCTTGACATTGGAAAAAGAGGCTGCTTCGTCGTCTCCCTCTACCATCTTTCGCTATGCCGAAGAACTGTCTGCTTTCTAAAATTAGTTCCTCATACGGGATTTTAATAAATTAGCCTTTAAACGATGTACGATGCGGACTCGACCTCACGATCTCTAATCACCCACGTTGTGGTGACTCCCGAATCCGACGAGACGGCTCGTCACAGATTCAACTGTCCCGTAATTCGCGGCGGAATTTCTTATTCGCACAGCTTGTGACGTGCGAGGTTTCTCATCGTAGTGTTAGAATTTCAATCCTCCGTCACAATTAATATCCAGTTGCTCGTCTTCTCCAGGTATTCAATTAATTCTACTTTTGGGAGTTAACATTAGAGACGAAAAGATGAAGAGAGACGCGGAGGGGAGAGAGAGAGAGCGAAACGCCCTATTAACGACACGAGGTAAACTGGAAAGAGCGTACCACGCTGCGGGGAAAAGCCGTGTCAGAATTTGCTCCACGCCCGGCGTCGTGCTGACTCTGGCCGCTGATTATCCACGAGTCGGCGAGTCGTCGAGGATCGACTCGCGCGGCACAGGTGTCAAAGTGTCAAAGAGATTTTTTCTCAGCCTCACTCCCCCCCTCCAGCGCGATCGAGCCTGGGTGGGTGCCGGCGCCCTTTGTATTTACGCCGGACTGAATGGAGGTCGCGTAACAGAAGGGGTACGGTATGTGGGCCGGAGATAAAACGTCCTTCGGCGAATGAAGTCAATGGAGCGCGGGACACCGTGGCTGATTCTCGATATTCTCCACGTGCGCGCGCGTCCTTGTCGACGACACAGGCTGACGACGCGGCGGCACCGTAACGAACGATCCCGGTGACAAAGAAGTTGGCCGGCTAATTATGCGCGGCTACTCGCTCGCGCATTACGAGAGGCTTCGCCGAGCCATCGCGTGCCGAGCGCGCCCCGTTTCGCCGATCAATGTACCCGCGTATTCGAGAAGACGAGGCGAAACGCGCCGTATTCACCGAGCGGGAAGCGCGAACAAGGTGATTCCCGTCGTCTTGCCGCTCTCGTCCGGACTCATTGCGATGATACGGGGAGGATCGCACGAAGGACACTGATCGGTTCTCAACCGGCGCGTTGTCGCTGGTAAGAATAATTTATTTTATACAGGAGAATAAATATATCTCTGTCAAACCTGTTTTCTCGATGATAGATATATGTATTATTTGTATTAAATAAACTCAAGTCGAACAAACACGTACGTTAAAATCCAAGGAAAATCCTTTCCCTCCGTGTGTACATGTATTTTATACGTAAGTCGTTGCAAGCGGGAGGGGAAAACAATCCGAATTGCCGGCTTATTTTGAGAGACGATAATTTTTCGAGTTAACAGCGCGGACGAATACCAGAGTCGATTATCACGACGCGAAGTATCTGTCAATTCAGGATTCAGGCCGAGCGTGGAGGGATTAAATCCGTCCAGCAGATACAGCGCGCGCGCTCGGCTCGGCGTACATACCCGCTTAATCGATCCCCGAAGAAACACCAGAGAGCTGATTTAATTACGCCGGCCGTGAAAATTGGGTCAAGACGACGCCCCGCCCGTCGTCCCGGGGCGTCGCCACGGCGACATTGTATCCTTCGGATCGGATAAAAGCTTGTCGATGGGCTTTAAGCGAGCGCGCGCGCGACGAGCCCGAGGAAAGCCGAAGTCGCCGAGAGGCGTTCTGGAAAGTGCGCGCGCGGCCTGTAATCAATTCGACGGAACCTGTTTGCGGATTACCCGTCGGGCACGTTCTCGCCGGCGCGACGATTACTCCACTCTGACAATGAACGCGACCGAGAAAGATATAGGTAGAGAGACAGAGTGAGAGAGGGAGGGAGAGAGGTGAGCGGGAGGAAACCGTGTGGAATCGCGTTGCGTAACCCGTCGCCGGTTATACAACGAATCGGCCGAGTCACGTGCGCACGGCTGTCTAGCGGCGCTCTCGAAAGCCCGTCGTTGGTGGCAAAGTCTCGTCGACTTGCACCGATCTGGAACGATCTCGAGAACTTCGGTGCATTGAGACTCGATGTGAGTAACTCGGGTGGATCTCGTCGATGTGACCGTCACACTCGCGTTGCTCCATTTCAAAGCGATTTTCAGTCGTACGCGTAGCGCATAAAGGTTGAAAATTACAATTTTCATTTTAATTATTACAATTTCCAAACTTTACGTGTGTATGGTCTCGACCACGAAAGAAATTGCGACATTTTTTTTGTCGATTTCTTCTTGCCAAAACTTGCCGCTTCCGGTAATTCTCAGGAGATGCATTTTCATATTGGCCACGAGATGCGTTCTCGAAACTCAACGAAACAAATACGTTGCTATCTTTCGGTGACTGTACATATGAGAGATTAAACATTGCGTTGACTTCGCGGTAAAAAGTTAGTTTTAATTAAAAGTAAAAAGTTTCTATCCAGGGAATGGTACAACCTATATGACGCCGGCTGCGATACGATTCTCGGTCGCAATTATTAACGTAGAGTTGATAAACAAAGGAAAAGTGAATATTTATCGTCGTCTAAGGA